CATGAAATGGAAAAGATGCAATGTGTAATGCCCCACATAGCTAAGTTATAATTGTTAAATTATATTGCTGCTCATTCCAGAAATAATTTTTGGATTCTCTACAATAGTGATTTTCAAACTTTTGAGTATCAAAATCCCTTTACACTTTATAAATCATTGAGGACCACAAAGACATTTATAATTTATATTTAGGTTCTGCCTGTCAATAGTTTGTTGTTGTTAAGTGCCGTCAAGTCTGTTCAGACTCATAGCGACCCTGTATAATAGGGTTTCTAAGGAGTGGTTGGTGAGTTTGAACCATTAATCTAGTGGTTCAAACCAACCTTGTTGTCCAGTGCTTTATCCACAGTGCCACACCAGAACTCTTTACCAGTAGTTACCCTATTAGAAATTAAAACTGATAAATTAAATTAAAAAAAAAATTATCACTTAAATTTGGAAATAGCAATGATAAACTCCTTAAAATTAACATAAATATTTTGAAAAATAACTGTATTCTCCAAAACAAAATACTAATAAAATGAGTGGCATTGTTTTTACATTTTAGCAAATCTCTTTATTATCTGGGTTGATGGGAAGCATATAGATTCTCATACTTGTTTTTACATTTAACCTGTCAGATATTTTTGTTTGTTTGCAATATGTCAGGGCTTGGCAAACAGCCATGCAGGCAAAATTGTAATTTGTGTCCAGGTTTTGTTCAGCTTACATGCTCAAAAAAATGTCTTTCTTTATTAAAAGAGAGAGAGAGAGAAGACTATTTGATGACATAGAAGAATTCTGTAAAATCCAGATTTCAGTATCTATAAACAAAGCCACACTGATGGTTTTACAGATTATCTGCAGCCACTTGAACATTAAGGAGCGGTGGGGATAGTTTGATGCTCAGCTGCTGTTCAAGCCAGACTATCTGCCTGATAGTCTGCTCCCATAAGGATTACCCCTCAGAGGTCCTGTGGGGCCGCGCTCTCCTGTAGGGTCGCTGTAAGTCAGAATTGGTCCAGTAGCACCAAAAACAACTTCTAATACAATAGCAGACTTTGAATAGTTGTGATAGAGACCAGGTCTCCAGAAAAACATACAATATTTGCTTTCTGGCACTTTATAAAAAGAATTTGCTGATCCCCGAAGTACGTGAAGAAAATGTGGCCTATGTTAAAAGGAAGAATTGTTTTATAGCTTCTTAACATTATAATATTGTACCAAAAAATGAACAAATAGTTTCTTAAAGGATTGTTTCTAATGTTCAAGCTAAATGTTTTGTAGTGTTGATTACAATTCACTGGTTTGCCTTGTACTTTGAGTGTATTTTTTTACCTATGCAACATGATTTTGTAACATCACATCAGATTATTTGTAAAACATCACTTCATGGAGTAATACAGGTTTTGTAAATACTGATATATTTCATTAGAGAATATATATATATATATATCACACTTGTTAATATTATAATCTGCATTATCAGAGAAATCATTAAGAATTGGGAAGTTTTTAAGTCCATGGTAATGGGCACACATTTTCCAGAATTCTAAATTTTATTTGAAAACTTGAACTTTGGCCTTATTAATAACTATTGACAGTCATTTTTCTAGAAGTGACAGGCTGACTTTTCCATTTTTTGAGAAACTGCTTTCCCAGTACTCATGCGTGAATAATCATAGCATATCAGTTGTTCTTTCAAACATTGGTATTCAGTGAAAACAGTGGCCTGTTCAGCTTACAAATTAGGTGAGGACTTTCCCTGAAGAAAGCCAACGTACTTTCACATGTAGCATAAGTACTTTCGAGGCCCCACTTTGTCACTCAGAACAGTAAAAAGATGCTATTTAAAGGCTGAGACTGAATGTGTTGTACTGTTTCATCATGAGCATCCTCAGTGGAACTGGCCTTGTATGTATGTGTGTGTGTGTAAATGTGCACTTGTATTTAACTGGTGCGTGGGTTACTAGTTACTAGTATGTTTTGGAGCCACTGCCTTTTTTCCACCATTGCTTTTACATCATTGGACAAATGTAAACACGGTGAAGAAGCATTATTATGATAAAAATAATTTTGACCTTTCAGACCCCCTAAAAAGTCCTCAGGAACTTCTAGGAAATTGACTATATTGAAATAATTATGTTGTTAAATGCCATCAAGTTGATTCCGACTCATAGCAATCCTGTATAGGATTTCTGACGAGTGGCTGGTGGTTTTTAACCATCAGTCTTGCAGTTAGCAGTCCAGTGCTTATTCTACAGTGTCACATCAGGAATAATTATAAAGTATAATTATTTGGAGGAAATAACATTGTAGTTCTTAGCCTCATTAATCTGGAATTAGTGTCTTCATACCAGTGACCCAGAGAGGTTCCCAGAATCAATCCCAAATTACAGCTGTCTGTATGTTTGTCCATAGAGGAAGATTTCAAGAGAACTGACTGAAGTCTTGAAAGCCAAATGAGGGCCCCTAATTGCCCTAAGGTGATACATAAAACTTGAGTAATGTAGTCTGGTATTATATATATTATAGGTTCTTTTGAAAATGTATCAATTCTTAGTTGTTACTGAGTGCCGTTGAGTCTGTTCCAATTCATGGTGACTCTGTATTGGGCTTCTGAGGAGTAGCTGGTGGGTTTGAACTGCCAGTCTTGTGATTAGCAGTCCAGTGCTTATCCTACAATGTCACACCAGGATTCCAATCTTTAGTGAATATTATTTTAATGTAGTTAATATACTCGCTGTGGACAGAAGGATTTCTTAAAGTCATACTTCTTCATTTACCATGGTCACAAACAGTTTCACTTTCAATCATCTGTCAGATTTATAGCCATTATCTTCCTTTCCTTATTATAAGGGGGTGTGTGTGTCCAATTTTTGTTCTCACTGAAAACCCCAAGCTAGCCCATGAGAAATTTGTCACTACTCTTTTATCATAGATGACTTTCTCATTTGTTCTTCTCTAAGGCCATTTTGTTAAGAGGTCTTAATAGAACATTGTGTTTCTGTAGTGTGGTACTGATCATGTTCGTATACACACTAAAGAAGCAAAGATGGTGAGACTTTATCTCATGTACTTTGGACATGTTATCAGGAGAGACCAGTACCTGGAAAGGACCTCATGCTTAGTAAAGTAGGGAGTCCTGCAAAAAAGAGGAAGATCTTTAACTAGTTGGCTGCAATAATGGCCTCAAACCTAGGCGTGAAGATGACATTGGACCAGGCAGTGAGTGTATCATTGTTCTGTGAAGCTGGAATGGACTCAGCCACCCCTAACAACAACTATACAACACTTGGTTTGTTACTGATTTTGTACTACTGTGATTCTTTTTTGAGAAGGGACAGAAGTAAGAAAGAAAGAAAAGCTGTTCTTGATCTTAGAAAAATGAATCAAAATGTGATGCAGGATTGCAAATGACAACTTGCAGAGTGGTATGTCAGAGAATAATATCAGGGGTAGGTAAAAAGGCATTGAACCCTTTTTGAGACAGTCACATAACAGAAAAAGAGGGAGACATTTTGAGAACTTATATCACCATATTAATAGTTTGGGTTCAAATGTTTTAGGAAAATGAGAGTAAAGCAGAACGAATTTAAATGAACACACACCCAAAAGCTCATTCTATTAATATTTGTGTGACCTTCTATGTATCATAGTGGTTACGAGTCAGGCTGCTAACCTCTAGGTCAGCGGTTCGAAACTACCAGCATTTCCATAGGAGAAAGATGAGGCTTTCTGCTCCTATAAAGATGTACAGTCTCAGAAACCCTATACAGGGTCGCTAAGAGTCAGAACCGACTCCATGGCACACCATCACCACCACCCACTATGTATCAGGTCCTATGCTGGTACCGACACTTGATGGGCTACCTTGGGAGTAGATTGAAAGGTTTAAAACCTGTAGATTTCTGAAGTGTATTATGTGACTGATTTTCTAGGAGTCTGAAGCATAGTGTTAGCATTTCATGGCAAAATCTTGTTTTCTGATGGAGAAACTCAAGTGCTGTTCTATTCAACTTGCCCATGGTCGAATAGTAGGATTAGTGGCAGATGTTGAAATCATATCATATTATATATAGGTTTTAAACAAGTGAAATACTCCCTATTAATTTAGCCACTAATATGATTTTCCAGACTGGAATTACATTCAAAGCCACATGAAACTTGGGAAATATTGGAATGAGAATTTTTAGTTAGAATTGAAATTCCTTCCATTTTTAAATTGTAACCTAAGAAATATTTTAAACTAAAACATAATTATAATTAGAAACATAATATAATATCTCAGTAATTTAAGCATCATTTTGAAACAGCATCATGGATCTTCCTAATTCTCTACTTGCCAGTGAACTAGATACTCAAAGCTGAAATCTCACGTAGGCTCATTGCTTTTTGGCCATAACTGGGAACCATTCCTTCCCTTTTTGCTATCTGCCCTGCAGATATATACAGCTTTTTTATACTAGGGGTGACATGTGAATTGGCACTTTCTTTCCAAAGAACACTAAGGGATTTTATTTAATAAAAAGGGTTCAGAGGTCAATATGTTTGGGAAACATTGATTTAAACAAAGTTTATGACATCACAAGTCTGTAATGTTGAAATACGTAAAAAGATGCTTCAATAGGGAGTTTGTTATATACCCAAACTTATCTGCACAGGGAATCTATAATTTTTCAAAACTGCCTTCATTACTATTCCATGGACTACACTTTGGGAAAAGTGGTACACTTAGGGGTACAGATCTACTCCTGTTAAATGTTTTAACACATGTCCTCTCTTGCATTACTATTATGCATACTACTTTTTTCTATTTTTGCTCATTAGATTTTATCTTCATGAAAAGTTATAGTTTTAGAGAGGGAGTCACTAGCAGGAATAAGTATTACCTGATGGTTAAAATTCTTACAGTGGCTATGTGAAGAAAGAAACTAGAGATCATAAACTACTATTCTAAGTAAGTATTCTCAAACTACAGTGTATTGTTGATCAAAGTGTTCTCTGTTTTTACATTGCAGGTGTTGGGGATCAGCCAGGTGAGGTAGGTTATTCAGGCTCTCCTGCAGAAGCACCTCCAAGCAAGTCACCATCAATGCCATCCCTAAACCAGACTTGGCCAGAGCTGAATCAGAGCAGTGAGGTTAGCACAACTTCCCTTTTCTCTCATTCAAACTTTTCATTTTGTAAGGTAAGCAGTCCCAAACAGGCATTTCAGCATACAGCTCTTAGGGATGCACACTTGAGAGTTGTTGTTAAGTGCTGTTGAGTCGTATCGACTCACAGTGATCCTGTATAGGGGTTCCAAGGCTATAGCAGAAAGCTAAGCCTCCTCTTTCTCCTGTGGAGTTGCTGGTGGGCTCGAACTGCTGACCTTGTGGTTGCAGTCCAGTGCTTATCCTGTGGAGCTACCATGCTCTGACACTTGAGAGAGGACATCAGACATAACTATAAGTAATTATTTGGAACTCTGTGGTGGTTTGGGGTGGTCATAGTGCTTTTTCATATGTGCACTATCATTTTCTTCCTGCCCCTCTGTCTCACCAAAACCTTGGAGGTTTGGCAGAATGGATGCATGAAGTTAAGTGTCAAAGCCTGAAAGACTTATTAGCCAAAATCTCATAGCCAGTGAGGAACAAGAGCTAAGATTTGAACACAAGTCATTTGATCGCCAGTTAACGGCTGCATCCACTCTGTCACATACTTTCTCATTCCTATAAGCAAAATATGTAATATTTGGAATCGTAGAATATTTGGAATGCTAGCATTGGAAGTGATGTGAAAAGTCACTAATCCAACTTTCCACACTATTAAAGTATTTTCTACATCCCAAGCGATTTACCATTTTAATTTTACTTGTTAGGAAGTAAGAGATTTAGCCATATTGAAAATAGTGTAAAGATATGTCAAATATGACCAAGCACAGTTTGCAAGAAAGAATTTGAGACACGTGTACTGCTCCCAGATGACTTTAGAAATCTACTACATATAAAACATTAAACGTGTGGCCATTGTGCTCAGAACAAACAAGCAAGATGGCTGACTAAGGCCCTGCCTCCCTAAAACAACCCCAGAGACCTCTCTGCTCTACCTTAGGGCTCTATGGAAGGAACTCCATTGGAGAATCACTGCTAGTCAGTCTTCTTGGTGAACCAGTTACATTTTTCCCCTTAGTGTTTGTTGATACAAATATGGAAACTTGCTGATACTCAGGAGAAAGTTCTAAGCTTCTGTGCTTTGCTGTATTTGAGAACCTGAAAAATACTAGATTAAAGAGCCCCCTAGTTAACTTTCGACAATGTGGACGAAGCAAAATAACTGGTAGTTTTCAGTACTTGCTTCTTTTGAACACTGTCAAAGCTAAGGTAATCGTCTGTGTTAAGTGCTGACTTGTTTCTCAAACGTGGATGCATCCTACTTACTGTTGGTTGTAAAGCCATTAATATAAGTATTTTTCTAGATGGAAAGATTAGCCCTGAAAGTGAGGTCAGTGGTTTTGAAATCACTATGTTTTCCACATTTATTCATGACTGTCATTGCAAAAAGCAAGTCAGTTGAAAAGCATAAAATAGCAATTCTGTTGATAACTATTTGTAAATAAAAGGAGCTATTTCTAAACATCTCAATTCTAAAACCCACATTCATTCTCAAAACAGCCACGTGTGTATTCAATCCTAGGGATAGAAGTTCCTTCCAAATTCTAATCTCAGTAGTTGCATTGTCCATACTTAAGTAAACTTTAGTATCAAGTATTTCTTTGTAGTATTTGGTAAGTAGAAAGAATGTCACAATATATTTTTTTTATTATTATATGTAAAAATTTAAAATGCAAATCAGACTTTGACGTTGATTTTCAGCATTTTAGTATTATTTATGTAAATGTATTCTTAGGATGTGGAATTTAGATTATGTTTTAGTTTTCACAGTGCCCAGTGAAAGAATATTCTTTCAACAAGTATTCAGCACCTGCTAGATACGAATAAACAAGGCACTAGGTTAGGCACTGTACATTTTAATAATTATTATTCCTAACATTTATTGAGCATTTGATGTATCAAATTACTTTTCAAAAAGCTTTTTACTTGTCATTTATTTAAATATTAATGTATTTCTTAACTTGACATAATCCTATGATATAGGCATTATTAATCTCATATTGCAGATGGTGAAACTGAAGCACAGGGAGGTAAAATACATTGTCCAGGACTATAGAGTATACCTAGTGTCTCTGCCTTCCAGGTAGTTTACGTACTTAGAGAGTCTTGTGAAACCATGTTAACCATCATGCCATCCAAGTGAGGTCAGTGTTGTAGCTCAAATTTCTCCACAGTGAGATCTTTCAGATTTTTAACATCCGTTCTCTATTTATGTGCTCATAAGTACTGAAAATGAATTATATGAATAAATACTAGTAAATCACCACTCTGAAAGTGAATTATCATGGACTTTCTCCAAGAAATACTTTGAATTTGTCAGTATTTCTTAGTATATATTAATTCTTATGATAAATAAATTCATCTTTATATAGGAAAAGCATTTAATGTATCAGCCATTTTTGTAGATAGTTTTAAACAAGGTGTTCATTTACTAATATTAAATTCTATCTGCATTCTCAAATTGACTATCTCTGTTTGAAATAGTAAGTTGAACTTTGAAGCATAAAAATGTATACTTTGCCATAGTTCATGGTAAAGAGGATTTGGGTTAGTGGGGTAGGTCTGTCTGTGTGTAAACATTTGTGTGTATATATTGTGTATATGGAGCTTTTCCCCCTCTTCAGAGGACAACTGATAGATAATTCTGAAATTCAATGTTTAATGATGATCTTAAAATAATATTGACATAAAAATCTCATACTGTTTAATTCCTAAGATTTTTGAAACAAATATGATTTACGTGATTAATGTTGACTTATCACTCCACCAATTGTAAGAGGTGTAATAAATGTTTGCCTCTTTTAGAGAAGTACTGTCTCCTGTGAAAATGCCCAGCTATAGATGACGTCCTCAGATGCTTGATTTGCTCTCATTGTGGCCGCATTCTGATTTTTCTGGCATGGGGAGGGGTGCCTGATTGGCAGTTCTGTCTTGTGGTCTGGCATGGCCCTGTTTGTAGTGCTGACTGCAGGGGTTGACTTGCTACTGATTGACAAAGCTCAAACATATATTAATTCCAGAATTCTTTGCATTTTATCTCAATTATATTTTATTAAATATCTTTACATACGTATAAAATATGTGCACGTATATAATAGAATCATCTTTCAGGGGTCGCACTGGCAAGTCATGCTGACTTGTTTTGTTTTGACCAAAACTTTGGTAATTTGGGATTCACCGAATCAATGCACAAATATCTGAAGTTTGAAAGTAGGGTTTGAATGCCTTTTTCTTTCTCTAGTTGAGATAAACCCCTTTACATTTTTACTCAAGAGCCATTTATTTATGCTGCTTAGATTCTGTGCTGTATTGTTTGGAGTTTTAATTCTGTAAGCCCTTTGAATCCCTTCCATGAAGACACAGTAAATTCTTACTCATTTGATTGTGAAGCAGCTCACCCTAACCTTCATTACAAGATGATTCTGTGTAAGATCAGTAGAAAATGTTTATGGAAAAGTAGAAATTACAGAAACTTGCCAGGCCTGTGGACCACAACTTGCAGTGCGACCTCTGAATGACTTTGCTAAATCTTCTCCGGTGATCTTGTTCTCCATCTTTCTCATCATGCTGACTCGTCTCTCCTCTGTCTGTTCAGCAGTGGGAGACATTTAGCGAACGTTCCTCAAGCTCACAAACTCTGACCCAATTTGATTCTAACATTGCACCAGCTGATCCTGTAAGTCAATCACTTAGCTTGCTTGTTTGAAATTAATTTTATTAACCCAAATTTCCATTCATGATGATTTTTAGTCGATATGCATGATTCAGTGCTTAGAGGGAAAATGGTGGCAGGCTTCTCAATTGTGTGCTTAATGGTGGAAAGAACATTTTTGCCATTCTTTGTATTTTCTAGTTATTTTGGGGTGAGAAAACTGTATGTTTTTAGTAACTGGTACTTGTGTTGTTGTCATGTCTAAAGAAGTACTTTGTGACAACTGATTTAATTAACCTGCTTTCATTTGCTAATTAAGTGTATGTTTTATTAAACATATTTCAGTGTAGTGACATGTAAATGCTTTTTTACTTGTATGCCTATGCATCATGTAATATGTACTATGTATGTAAATATTTATGCATTGTCATTTTTTAATTTTAATGAGATAAATGATGTGGCTTTAATTACATTCATGTGTTGAGTTCTATTGGAGAAAATTTTAAGTTCAATAAAATAATACATAGCTGTTGGTGAAAGGTACCCATTGTGCAGAGAACCTCCATCTTGTCTTCTGTGGTTCACTGTGTTGCTTTGAAAATGCTACAAAGTTCACATCTTGATTTTAAGACTAAACTATCTCGGTTAATTTTTTAAATGCCCCATCTGTCCCTCAAATTATTTTAAAACTTTAAAAAATCATAGCTATTTATCAGTCGTTCACACCTCAGCTTTTTCTTTTTCCTCCTCTTTTTTTTTTCTTTTGATGAGAAGGACATGCTAATAAGCACCTTCCAAAAGGAAAAGAGGAACTAAGTAGGAAGGATGAAGAGTGTAAAGGTAGGATGATTAAAACAGAATTGAGTGGAAAGACACGGAGAAATGCCACAAGGTGTTCTTTTCTAGATTGCCTTGTGATGATCAAAGGCATCCAGCATTGATTAACGAAACATAAATACGAGTAGTCTTGCCATTTAAGGTGGATTTTAGAGAAGTGCCACTGAAAGATTAGAGTATATTTTCAGCAGTTTGATTAATGGATCACTGATATCTATTTGAAATATGAGGGTGTATAAGATGTCCATAGTAAAAAGGAACTGCAAGATTATGGAATTTTTCCGTGAGCAGTTTGAAGCCCTTAGTGTAAAGGATGCTGTTATACTGGCTTAATTAAGACAAATATATGAAAGTGTTTCACGTGTCTATAGTCTGTGAAGGAATCCCCTATACGGGTCACTCTGAGTCAGAACTGACTCGGCGACACTTAACAACAACATAGTCCGTGGATTCTATCAGCTATTGCAGGATAAATGATTTGGTTGATCATCTGTGCCTTTTGCTTTTCTTTCCTTGTTGCTTGACTTTGAGGGCATTAATCTTTGATTTGAATCCCTACCAAATGGAGAGCAGGAGAAATGAAAAGACGGCAAAACATAAACTTTTGCCTTGCTGGTTATTAGCAGCTATAATTAAGGTCTTGAAAACTGACAAGTACTATAAGCTTAAAAGAAAGGAAAGTTTTACCCTAGCTTATATCTCATTTCTCCATATTATTGTATTAATCTTATCTTCTAGTTATGCAGTCAAGTGAATTTTATTAAAGGTATTTAATGAAATTGTTTTACTGGGAAGGAAAATTTGATTATAGCAATAAAGGAACTCTATTTGCTTCTCTTAGAAAATCTTAGAAGACTCGTTCAGCATTCTACTTCTTTGTCAAGCCAGGCAAAACATTATCTAGGAAAACCTAGAACCTATCGTTACCAGGAAATGTAGAGAAATATTTGACTTAATAAAAGTGATTGATGCTCCTGTTATTTGGAAATAATGTCCAAATTCATGAGTGATAGGATAAAGTTTAAAATGCTGTGGCTCAGTATTTTCCTTTATTATCTCTAGTGTGACAGGAGGCACTTGAAAAAAAAAATTTTTTTTAACGGTTAATTGGAATTTTCAACTTGACTTTAGAACTCCAAATCTGATAAATAAAGTTGACACTATTAAATATTTTATAATTGGATACATACAAATCTCATTCTTTTATGGTGGCAAACTAAACGTGAAGCTCCTTCCCCAAGCAGTTTTAAGTGTTAAATTGAGAGGATGCCCTGCTGGCATTGAAGTGTCTGTTTCTTCACCGTCATTTAATCCTGACTTGAAGTATAGATGTTAGCAGACGGTAACCTAGATCCAGAGCTAAAATCCAGATGACTTTTGTAAGCCTATATAAATATGGATTGTAATTAAATAAAGATAATTCCAGTGAGAAAAGTAAAATAGGAAAAGTTCCAGACTGCGCTGTAGCATTTAGAAACACCAATGATCTTAGATGTGAAGTGGAAATGGCTACTTATTGTTATTAGACTCACAGAATTCTAATGAAACTGAGTGTCTAATTTACAGAAATGTGATTATTGAACAGCTTAATCATTTAATAGCCCCTTGTAGAATCTGCTTCTGTTAGAATAATTTAAATCAAGCCACCAGGGAAATTCTAGAGTGATGAGAAGTCAAATGCAATAATCTCTACCATTGTTTTTCAAATTTCAAAGTATGAAAAGGGAGTTTGTTTGATCACTGATTTATGCCCCATTCACATGATATGAAGATGCCAAAGCTACTCTCTAGGGATGTAAAGATAGAAAATCGAGCAAGATTGCAGTTCTAAATCATCTATAGCCTCATTATTATAATTTGATAATTACAACAGAGATAATTTTGATCATTATCATAGTATATCTGTGACCAAAAATGGACAGAGAAGGGATTGGTTAACTTATTTAGAGTGATATATTAGGGAAAGTTTCACAAAAGAACTTACATTTATGTGCTGGGTCTTAAAAGCAAGTATAAGTTGGCAGAGATTGAAAAGGTCATGGTAAGCAGAGAGGGTGTGTTGAGAAGGTATGAATACAAGGGACACATGAACAGGTACATGACAAAATTATGGAGTGTGAGAGATGAAGCTAAAGAATCGAGCGGAGACCAAAATGAGATGTCTGTATGTTGGTCTAAGGTTCTGAACTTACTCTTATACACGACAGGACACAGCTAAAGAACCAGAATAAGGTGGGGGCAGTGATGCGACGGAGTGACAAGGTCAGCGAGGCCAAGAACTCAGTGGTCTGAGAGTGAATTCAGACAGATAGGAACAAGAGGATTTAAGGCATGTCGAGACTATAGCTACATGAGCATAATAGAAGACAGTTTCCATCAGATTGCTGGGTTGTATAAAAGCAGGTGCCCAAATTTGCCCTGTGAATGTACCATGACTGATGAGGTTTTGGGTGATATAAATAGGCAAAAGAAAGTGGGCGGGGCATGCCAGTTAGAGTTTAGGTTTTTTTTTGTTCCTCCTTTTGTCTTTTGTTCTCTTTTATTGTTGCTAATTTGGGAAAGTTAGTCTTGATCAGAGAGGGTGTTCATTTGACATCTGTAGCTCAGGACTCAGAGGCTCTTAGATTCACAGTTCTTTTTCAAGCTTGAAATGCTTCTAGTTCTCGACCCCCCATTGCACATTACAGTCACAGATGGACTTGTGATTTATCAGTCAAATATTGTTGGGTAGTGTCGAGTGGATTCTAAGTCATAGTGACCCTCTTGTGCCAGAACTCCCTTATATTATAGGGCTTTCTAGACTGTAATCTTTATGGAAGCTCATGGCCAGGTCCTTTCCTGTGGAGTGGCTGGATGAGTTCACACACACCAGCCTCTGGGTTGATTAACGATTACACCACCAGTGTTCTGTAGGTCTGATCATTTATGTAAAGTTCATCACTAAATTTCCTAGGTCTAGCATGCCCCACTGGACTAACACCATTGCTTCCCTAAAGCATCTAGTGATTGTAGGACTCAGGTGTGCTGTAGAAGATTCATTTCTTGGTTCAGGAAAGTACCAATGGGTATTATTTGGAGAATGAGGTTTTAGATATTTATAATTTTCTTTTTTTGGAACTATTATGATTTTCATTAATTGTGCTAGAAATATATGAAACGGTTAATATTTTCAACTATGAGAGTACTTTATAGATATGATTGTATGTATACACACAGATAATATAGATATTAGATGAGTACTGAAACTTTAAACATCTACTAATAAGTTCTGCCTGCTTGTTCTTTCCCAGTTTATTTTGTGTTGAAATAACGAATTATTTTCTCACGAATTATCATTTACTACATTGATCTTACCTTTTAATGGTAAATGCTGATTCTCGTAACAGTCATTTCTGTTATTAAAATTGTAAATTAAGGTAATAGGAGAGTTGTTCCTAAAGTGAGGTGTTTTGTAACTGTAAATGTAATAGACGCAATAGCTGGAGTGTATCATTAGACACTGTTTTCTGAGCTGACTCATGATGTGAGAAATCTAAACATACTGTTACTGTTAAATGCTGTCTAATCAATTCTGACTCATAGCAACCCTGTGTAGGGTTTCTGAGGAGCAACTGTGAGCTTGAACTACTGATCTTTTGGCTAGTAGTCCGGAGCTTATCATACAGCACTACACCAGGACTCCCAACATATTAAGGGGCTTCAAAAAGTCTGTGGAAGAATTCTATTATCTTTCAGTTCCATTTTTCCATGAATATTTTGAAGCCCCTTCATGTATATAACTTCTGAGTTGTAGGGTAAGTGTGTCAGTTCAGCTTCATTAGATAAATACATGAATCTTATCCAAAATCAGACTCGTGTGGGAGTAGCAAATTACTATAAATGGATTTGTCAGTATAATAGCCATATAGAATTCACTTGCTAGAAACTTTGAAATTAGAGATTATGAGAGTAGGAAGCCTGTCAAACAAGAGATGTATGCTAGGACTTAACTTTTCTCTAGCAAGAGTTTTGGTGTTACTAAATACTGTATCAAAAAGCAATGTCCAACGTAAACTAAAAGGTCATTACCATTCACACTGAATTACAAGTTTGTTGTTGTTGTTAAGTACCGTGGAGTTGGTTCCAACTCATAGTGCCCCTACACAGGGTTTCCGAGGCTGCAAATCTTTATGGGAGCAGTCCGCTTCATCTTTCTCCCATGGAACAGCTGGTAGTTTCAAACTGCCAACCTTGAGGTTAGCAGTCCGATTCGTAACCTCTATGCTACCAGAGCTCCTTAAATTATAAGTTTAGCTCATTTGAAATTTAAAATTCAAGGATCTCAAGTTCAGTCTTTAGCAACAGACAGAAAAAATAACTGACTTCTTGTAGAAAGAAGGAACCGAGCCACGCTCCGTCCCCTCCCATCTTCTTAACCCGGTAGCAGTAATTTCATCTCGTCTGTTGCTGTTACTCCCTGTGCTTTATCTGGTTCTGATTCCTCTCCTGGGCTCTGAGCCGCAGGGCCAGACCTGCCCGTGTACCAGGTACACCTTTCTTTTCTTTCACTGGAATCTCAAAGGTTCAGATACATAGATTTTCATCAGATCTTTTCACACTTTGCTTTTTTTAGCATTGTCATGAAGTGTTTTTATAAGACCATTTTGTTCATGCAAATCTAATTACTCAAAATGTACTTTTTAGAAAATAAGATTATTAGGCATATATAGTGAATATTAGAATATATGTTTTCCTAGAATTTTTTGTTTTACAAAATTGTTATGCCTGCCTTAGATATGAATGAGAAAAAATCTATCTGCCAGTTTTTAAGGTTTTGTTAGTTTTTATTATTTCACGGTATTAGCCTGATATTTTTGGTACAAATTCTGTTTCCTCCCATTTGTCTCTAGGATACTGCTATTGTTCATCCAGTTCCCATTCGAATGACTCCCAGCAAAATCCACATGCAGGAAATGGAGCTTAAAAGAACTGTCAGTGGTGAGGAGGCTGTGACTGGGTTGGCTTCCACTCTAGAACCAATTTGAGATGTTCAGTAATTACTCTCTCAAGGCTCAGCTTTCATTCATAGTGGCTTTCTTCTAACTTAGTAGTTTTCACAATTTATATACACATATGTGTATATATATGGAGGTCTGGTAGCGTGGTGATTACGAATGGGGCTGCTAATCTCACGGTCAGCAGTTCGAAACTACCAGCTGTTCCGCTGGAGAAAGATGAAGGCTTTCTGCTCTTCTAAAGATTTACTGCCTCAGAAACCCTGTAACAGGGTCGTTATGAGTCAGCACCGACTCCACAGCACATAACAACAACAACAAATACATATATATGTTGTCAAGTATCTTCGAGTCAGTTCCAACCCACAGTGACCCTCTATAGGGTTTCCTAGGAGCAGCTGGTGAGCTTAAACTGCAACACTGAGTTTCAAACCAACTTTTCAGTCCAGTGCATTAACTCACAGCACCACACCAGGACATTCTCTCTCTGTATATATATATATACATGTTGTTGTTAGGTGCCATCAAGTCAGTACCGACCCATAGTGACCTTAAGCACAGCAGAATGAAACACTGCCCGATCCTGGGCCAACCTCACTACTGCTGGCACGCTTGA